GCCTAGTTGGGCTGTTAACTAGTGCTAGTAACCAACTAGCATCTACGAGTAGTTCGATGTCTTGGCTGTAATTAGCTTTCTATCCCTGGCATTAAGTGTATCCGAAGTAGTGAAGATCAGCTACGCTGCTAGTAAAGAAAACTAACTACTCTGCTAGTGAAATGAAAGCAGCTCCCTTGCTAGTGAACTAGTTCGGTAACCTATGCTTGGGGGCTAGTGTGGGCCCTTAACCTCAGAGAGACGTGAGATCTTGGATTCTGGTATGGAGAATGTCTAGCGAGAAAGGGGACCCCCCTGTTGCTTGGAGCGGCCCGCAGGCCAGGCTTGACTTGTGAGAGTTTGGTCCACCAGGCTGTTGCTTGGAGCGGCCCGCAGGCCCACATATACCTGGTTGATGAGGTTCTGGGAGTTCTACTCCCCAAGCCCGGCCCGAGGCCAGGCTTGACTTGTGAGAGTTTGGTCCACCAGGCTGTTGCTTGGAGCGGCCCGCAGGCCCACATATACCTGGTTGATGGGGTTCTGGGAGTTCTTCTACTCCCCAAGCCCGGCCCGAGGCCAGCCTTGACTTGTGAGAGTTTGGTCCACCAGGCTGTTGCTTGGAGCGGCCCGCAGGACAGACTTGACTTGTGAGAGCTTGGTCCAACAAGTCCAACAAACACCTCTCCTAATATTTATCACGCCATTTTCCCTACCTCAACCTGCTATTTTCCCCACCTATTTCCCATTTCTCCCTGCCTCTCCCCCCCCCTTCTCCTAATCCCTCATTCGCCTTAAATTGGACCGTTTCAGCAAATGACTAGACATAGATAAGAACCTAAAGAGATAATAACGTAAATGAACTTTGGTACAAGGAGTCCGTCTTGAACTTGTTCTTCAACTCGTAGATACTCTGCCCAATTGTTTCCGCCGCCACCGGGGATCGAACCCGAAACCTCAGGATTATGAATCCCAAGCGTTGGCCACTCAGCCGTCAGGCCCCTTGATGTTGGTCAAATTTTTTTATTTTTATTTTTTGTGTGTTTTCTGTCCAGTGTTTTATTTTGGGTTTTATTTGGTGAATTTGTGGGTTCATGAGCCCAGATTTTTTTTATTATCCTGTTCTTACTCATTCTTATTTCGTTCTTACTCATTATTACTCTGTTCTTACTCACTGTGCATAGTATTACGGTGTCTTTACTCACTGTCTCACCGTCGTTACTCACTGTTCCTCCGACTTTAGTGTTACTGTGTCTATCCTCACTATCCCTCCGTCCTCACTGTTCCTCTAGGCTAGTGAGGACGATTCTGGGATCTTTCAGTCAAGAGACTAGCCTGAGGTGGCAATAACCTGGCCAGTCGTTCGCATCACTTGTCCTTTATTCTGGTAGTTTCTTTCCCATGAGTTCCTCTCATGGTGATGCTGGTCTCATCTCATCTTGAGATGATGTTCTAAGACGTTTGGGCATCCCGCTCCTATCTCTCTGTCTCTCTCTCTCTCTCTCTCTCTCTCTCTCTCTCTCTCTCTCTCCTGCTAGCCATTTGTTTTCTCTCTCTCTCATCTCTACCCTTCCCTTCTTTCTCAGTGCTGAGGGGTACTTCCCTGCTGCTTTCATTCTGCTTTCAATGTCAACATTCCAGTCTGAGGGTAACGCTGCTTTTCCATGTCTGCCTCTGGGCGGCTTCTTGCATTGATGGCTGAGGTCTCTGACTTTCTCATATGTTTTGACTGGTAAACAAAACGGGTTGAATGGCGTTTCTTCACTATTTCACTTATATCTCGTCTCCTTTTCCTCATATCCCAGCTCCACACCCTTATATCCCAGCTCCACACCCTTATATCCCAGCTCCACACCTTTATATCCCAGCTCCACACCCTTATATCCCAGCTCCACGTTCTTATATCCCAGCTCCACACCCTTATATCCCAGCTCCACACCCTTATATCCCAGCTCCACACCTTTATATCCCAGCTCCACACCCTTATATCCTAGCTCCACACCCTTATATCCCAGCTCCACATCCTCCACACCCTTATATCCCAGCTCCACATCCTCCACACCCTTATATTCCAGCTCCACATCCTCCACACCCTTATATCCCAGCTCCACATCCTCCACACCCTTATATCCCAGCTCCACACCCATATATCCCAGCTCCACACCCTTATATTCCAGCTACACACCCTTATATCCCAGTTCCTCACCCTTATATCCCAGCTCCACACCCTTATATCGCAGTTCCACGTTCTTATATCCCAGCTCCACACCCTTATATCCTAGCTCCACACCCTTATATCCCAGCTCCACACCCTTATATCCCAGCTCCACACGCTTATATCCCAGCTCCACACCCTTATATCCCAGCTCCTAATCCTTATATCCCAGCTCCACACCCTTATACCCCAGCTCCACACCCTTATATCCCACCTCCACACCCTTATATCCCAGCTCCACACCCTTATATCCCAGCTCCTAATCCTTATATCCCAGCTCCACACCCTTATATCCCAGCTCCACACCCTTATATCCCAGCTCCACACCCTTATATCCCAGCTCCACACCCTTATATCCCAGCTCCACACCCTTATATCCCAGCTCCTAATCCTTATATCCCAGCTCCACACCCTTATATCCCAGCTCCACACCCTTATATCCCAGCTCCTTATCCTTATATCCCGGGTGGTTGCCATCTGATAAGTATTCTCTTTCCCCAGTCACCGCTCAAGGGATAGTTCTCTCATTACAACTCAACATTCCGTTCTGTCACCCTGTCACCCTGTCGTACTTCGTCGTCACCCTGTCACCCTGTTTCCCTCTATGTCGGTCTAGCTCTCTATGGCTCTGTCACCCTAACGCCATTTTATCCTACTTCCTGTCACTCTGTCACCCTGTCAATCCTGTCGCCATGACTGTTTCCTGTCACCCTGCTGCCCCGTCACTTGGTCATTAGGGTGTAGCTGTGATCTGATTGGTTGGTCCACACACTTCACACTTCTATATCAAATCTCCCATCAGATTGACAGTCTCTGTCATCCTGTCACAAGCTCTGTCTTCCTCTGTTTCCTTCAACCACTTGAGGTGGACGGTAGAGCGACGGTCTGGCTTCATGCTTGTCGACGTTCAATCCCCGTCCGTCCCAACAAGTGGTTAGGCAACCATTCCTTTCCCCCCGTCCCATCCCATATCCTGACCCCTTCCCAGTGCTATATAGTCGTAATGGCTTGCCGCTTTCCCCCTGATAGATCCCTTCCGTCTTGGGCTGGACGGTAGAGCGACGGTCTCGCTTCATGCAGGTCCACGTTCAATCCCCGAATATCCATTTACCTTTTCTTGCTATCTCTCATTCTTATTGGTTTTTATATTTCTTCTGTTTCATTTTGATCTTATGAACGTAATCCGTCAACACTCAACCTAGTACATACATACATACATTTTATCCTGATAGCTGAGTGGACAGCGCTCTGGACTCGTAATGCTAGGGTCCGGGTTCGATCCCCGGTGATGGCAGTAATAAAATAGGCAGAGTTTCTTTCATCTTGATGCACCTGTTACCTAGCAGTAAATAGGTACCTTGGAGTTGGACAGCTGTTACGGGCTGCTTTCTGTGTGTGTGTGTGTGTGTGTGTGTGTGTGTGTGTGTGTGTGTGTGTGTGTATGTGTGTGTGTGAAAAGAAAGTTAATAGTAACAGTTGATTGACAATTGAGAGGCGAGCCGAAAGAGCAGAGCTCGACTCCCGCAAGCACAACTAGGTGAGTACATCCTGAACGTCCCGGTGAGAGGCGGGACCCAAGAGCCAAAGCTCAACCACCACAGACATAACTAGGTGTGTCCACGACTGGCGATTGACATCAAAGCCGCATTCACACACCTGATAATGAATATCAAATATGAACTCTCTCACACACCTGTCAATTAGCACCAAAGCTGCATGAAGTTGTCCATTTAGCAACAAAAAAAACACACACACGACACACACCTCACGACACTTAAAGACAGAAGAGTAAGGGAAGACATGGTCACTACCTACAAAATTCCCAGAGGAATTGACAGGGTAGATAAAGATAAACAGTTTAACACGGGTGGTACGCCTACAAGGGAGCACAGGTGGAATCTGAGTACCCAAATGAGCCACAGGGACGTTAGAAAGACCTTTTTCAGTATCAGAGCAGTTAACAGGTGGAATGCATTAGGCAGTGATGTGGTGGAGGCTGACTCCATACACAGTTTCAAATGTAGATATGATAGAGCCCAGTAGGCTCAGGAATCTGTACACCTGTTGATTGACAGTTGAGAGGCGGGACCAAAGAGCCAGAGCTCAACCTTCGCAAGCACAATTAGGTGAGTACACACACACACAGTAAACAGTTGATTGACAGTTGAGAGGCGGGCCGAAAGGCCAAAGCTCAACCCCCGCAAACACAACTAGGTGAATACACACACACACACACACACACGCACACACACAGACACACACACACACACACACTCACACACACACTCACACACACTCACACACACACACACACACACACACACACACACACACACACACACACACACACACACACACACACACACTCACACACCACAAAAAACCGCCCACCAGAACGTTTAATATCACGAAAGAGTCGACCACTCTCTTTATTGTGCGACAGTGCAAGCACACACATTATCCACTTCTGTTTGGACGAGCAGAAAACTCTAATCCCACATGACAAAGGCGGATTTTAAATGTCGGAGTCAGGGGAAAGTGGGTTGACAGCCACTGACGCTGGCTCTCGTATCTCTGACCATTGCTAGTTGGACGGACACTGGAGAGACAGAGAGACAGAGAGAGAATGCGTAGATACAGTGGAGCCGTCACTAGCGAACGCTCTCGTTAAAGCTGAATAAATAAACAGTTTTTGGATTGACCGATCATCTAGATAAGTGTTATGAGAGATATTGGGAAGGTGCTGCTTGTGCTGAGAGCAGAGGCGCCATTCTGCATTGTCTGCTGAATAGACAATATTCTTAGAACGATGCTAAAGAAGAGGTTAGTCTGCTGAATAGCGTCCTTCTAAGAATGTTGTTTAAAGAAGTGGATGGTCTTAGAAAATCTTGTTTCAAGTAGTTCCAATGACAACAATCTTAGATAGACTGCAACATTCTATGTATTGGGATATGTGTGCTGTAGAGAGACAAGAGTTTACCGTAAACTTAAGATAACCGAACGATCACCAAACCCCTAATTTTGGTTATCCAGGCATTGGATTCACAGGTCTAGGCATACTTCAAGACAGGAGGTATTACCTGTTATACCTGTCTGAGATGAGATGTATCTGTGTAGTAGGTATACACCGATTTCGCAGAGGCAGTCGATAAATGTGACCATGGAGTGATAGCACACAAAATGAGGTCAATGGGAATAACTGGTAAAGTAGGACGCTGGATACTCAGTTTCCTGTCGAACAGAACACAAAGAGTAACAGTCAATCATATACAATCGAGTCCAAGCGCAGTTAAAAGCTCTGTACCTCAAGGTACAGTCCTTGCACCGCTGCTTTTCCTTATTCTCATATCAGATATAGACTCAAATACAAGGTACAGCTTCGTATCATCTTTTGCAGATGACGCAAAAATCAGCATGAAAGTTACCTCTGCTGAAGATATTGAAAAACTTCAAGCAGATATAAATAAAGTTTTCGACTGGGCTGCAGAAAATAACATGATGTTTAACAGTGATAAATTCCAGGTACTCAGATACGGTAAAAATGAGGACCTTAAACATAATACAGGGTACAAAACACAATCAAATGTACCCATAGTAGGAAGGCAGCATGTAAAGGATTTGGGAATAATGATGTCTGACGACCTAACGTTTAGGGAGCATAACCAAGCAAATATTGCGGCAGCCAGAAAAATGATAGGATGGATTACGAGAACTTTCAAATCCAGGGATCCCATCACAATGGTTGTACTCTTCAAGTCACTTTTGCTGTCCCGTCTTGAGTACTGCTCAGTACTCACTTCCCCCTTCAGAGCAGGAGAGATTGCTGAAATAGAGGGAATACAGAGAACATATACGGCACGCATAGTCGCGATAAAACACCTAAATTATTGGGATCGTCTCAAAGCTCTTCAAATGTACTCGCTAGAAAGAAGACGAGAGAGATACCAAATAATATACACGTGGAAAATACTGGAGGGACAGGTCCCAAATCTACACAGTAAAATAACAACGTACTGGAGTGAACGATATGGAAGAAAATGCAGAATAGAACCCGTGAAGAGCAGAGGTGCCATAGGCACAATCAGAGAACACTGTATTAACATCAGAGGTCCGCAGTTGTTCAACGTCCTCCCAGCGAGCATAAGAAATATTGCCGGAACAACCATGGACATCTTCAAGAGAAAACTAGATAGTTTCCTCCAAGGAGTGCCGGACCAACATGGCAGTGGTGAATATGTGGGCCTGCGGGCCGCTGCAAGCAACAGCCTGGTAGACCAAACTCTCTCAAGTCAAGACTGGCCTGCAGGCCGCTCCAAGCAACAGCCTGGTGGACCAAGCTCTCACAAGTCAAGCCTGGCCTCGGGCCGGGCTTGGGGAGTAGAACAACTCCCAGAACCCCATCAACCAGGTATATGTGGGCCTGCGGGCCGCTCCAAGCAACAGCCTGGTGGACCAAGCTCTCACAAGTCAAGCCTGGCCTCGGGCCGGGCTTGGGGAGTAGAACAACTCCCAGAACCCCATCAACCAGGTATATGTGGGCCTGCGGGCCGCTCCAAGCAACAGCCTGGTGGACCAAGCTCTCACAAGTCAAGCCTGGCCTCGGGCCGGGCTTGGGGAGTAGAAGAACTCCCAGAACCCCATCAACCAGGTATCAACCAGGTACCTGAAGACAGAAGTCAGTGGATCAAAAGTCGTCAGTCAGTAGCGGATCATCACAGCCTGAAAAATCAACTGAATTATGCACCAAAATGCTTGATCAAACCACACATCAGAAGGTAGATGTGTGTACTGATGTGATTGATGTGTACTACACATCAAAAAGTCATCACCAGCAATCAACAGCCAATTAATGCACAACTATATTCTACCCACTTCAAGACTCCGCACCAATATAGAAGCATCAAGAGGAAGTATGGGCCAATAGGCCCTTTGCAGTTACTTCCATTCTTCCCTCTCATTTATCCAATTAATACCCATTGCACCGTGTTCTGTCTTGTGTTGGTCAAAAGTTTGTTCACCTCATCCAAAACTGTTTCAACATATCACCTCACCTAAATGCGAGTATATAAGACAAGCTGTTCAATGTTAGCATTAAGTAAAACTCTGTTTAGTGTTTTCAGGTTACAGTTGTGTGTGTGTAAACTAAAGTCTTTGAAAATGTAATAAGTTATTACGAAACGCGTTCAAGCGTCGCGTCAGACTAGAAATAAAAATGAATTTTGGAGAATTGATTTTTCAATTACCATCGACAGTAAAAAGAAACATAAGAAATATTGAGTAAATTCGTGTTAGAATTATTAATCTTACTTTTTTGGTCATATTAATAATATATGTCTACAGGAAAGACTGCTACCAAAATATACTAATATATATATATATATATATATATATATATATATATATGTGTGTGTGTGTGTGTGTGTGTGTGTGTGTGTGTGTGTGTGTGTGTGTGTGTGTGTGTGTGTGTGTGTGTATATCACGAAAATAAACACGTGATTAAAAATGTGACAATGTCAGATCACAGAGGAAAAATGAAACAGGAATTTCCTTAAGTACTTTCGTATATTAATACATCTTCAGAAGGAGTGACTTCTGAAGATGACATTGTCATCGTCAAGATGACGTGGCTTGACATTGTCATATATATATATATATATATATATATATATATATATATATATATATATATATATATATATATATATATATATATATATGTCGTACCTAGTAGCCAGAACGCACTTCTCAGCATACTATGCAAGGCCCGATTTGCCTAATAAGCCAAGTTTTCATGAATTAATGCTTTTTCGACTACCTAACCTACCTAACCTAACCTAACCTAACTTTTCCGGCTACCTAACCTAACCTAACCTATAAAGATAGGTTAGGTTAGGTTAGGTAGGGTTGGTTAGGTTCGGTCATATATCTACGTTAATTTTAACTCCAATAAAAAAAATTGACCTCATACATAATGAAATGGGTAGCTTTATCATTTCATAAGAAACAAATTAGAGAAAATATATTATTTCAGGAAAACTTGGCTTATTAGGCAAATCGGGCCTTGCATAGTAGGCTGAGAAGTGCGTTCTGGCTACTAGGTACGACATATATATATATATATATATATATATATATATATATATATATATATATATATATATATATATATATATATATATATATATATAATGTGTGTGTGTGTATAGAGGCATTGGTTGGGGAGCACAGTAGACAGCGTTATACAACTAAGGAAACGTGTGGATGGTGTAATTCGCCTGTTACCTGGTCCCTGTTAGCGGCCTTGTTGACCCTGAGTCATAAACACGGCGATAATTTTGTTTATGTCCGTCGCCCTTGCCGCGGTTGGCACGGTAAAGGACTTGCTGACTGTGTGTGTGCGCGTTCGAGGTCGATACGGCCTTGTATGTACACACTGTGTCACGTACACAGCGTGTACACGACTGGCTTACTAATATTATAGGGACGTATGTGTCTGTATACACCTGGAAATGTATGTTGGGTATACGTGTATACTTGATTATAAGTATATTCATTATGTACTCACCTATTTGTGCTTGCGGGGGTTGAGCTCTGGCTCTTTGGTCCCGCCTCTCAACTGCCAATCAACTGGTGTACAGGTTCCTGAGCCTATTGGGCTCTATCATATCTACACTTGAAACTGTGTATGGAGTCAGCCTCCACCACATCCACATATGTATATCAAATCACAATAGCATCATGCTATTCTGATTTCTGTGTGTTCCTCGGATTCGCATGGTAGAGTTATTGATTCAGGATTGATTTAGGAGTCAATCCTCGGATTCAGATTGAAGAACTAACATTTGGCTGTTTGACGCCATATTGAGAAACCAATTTTCCTAACTGCCCTTTTCAGACTTTAAATGGGCTAGTTTTGACAGCTTGCAATAAGAGGAAGATGATTGTCTTAGTTCTGATTGTCTAAGATGATTGTCTTAGCTCTTCATTAAAGATGAAAAAGCCATTGTAACTAATGACATCATTGAGCGAATGATGGGAAAATAGTTCAGTACTCTTGGATATTATCTTTGTTAATCGAAAATGTCACGCAATACGCAATTAATTTTATCGGAAATCTAATAACTATAGTTTGTGCGTGCGTGAGACAATGCATGCGGATTTTGTGCGTGCGTGAGACAATGCATGCGGATTTTGTGCGTGCGTGAGACAATGCATGCGCATTTTGTGCGTGCGTGAGACAATGCATGCGGATTTTGTGCGTGCGTGAGACAATGTATGCGGATTTTGTGCGTGCGTGAGACAATGCATGCGGACTTTGTGCGTGCGTGAGACAATGTATGCGGATTTTGTGCGTGCGTGAGACAATGCATGCGGATTTTGTGAGTGCGTGAGACAATGCATGCGGATTTTGTGAGTGCGTGAGACAATGCATGCGGATTTTGTGCGTGCGTGAGACAATGCATGCGGATTTTGTGAGTGCGTGAGACAATGCATGCGGATTTTGTGAGTGCGTGAGACAATGCATGCGGATTTTGTGAGTGCGTGAGACAATGCATGCGGATTTTGTGAGTGCGTGAGACAATGCATGCGGACTTTGTGCGTGCGTGAGACTGTGCGTGCGTGAGACAATGTATGCGGATTTTGTGCGTGCGTGAGACAATGCATGCGGACTTTGTGCGTGCGTGAGACAATGCATGCGGACTTCTGTGCGTGTGCGAGAGATTATGGCTACTTACATACTTATTCTAGACCACAACGCATGTATACACACTCTCCATGTATACATACGACTACAATAATACATAAAGCAATTTGCAATTGTCCAAACCCGTCATAGAGACAGCTCTCCCTCTACTGGACACTTGACTGAAAACTTGACACGAAAACTTGACTAAACTTTAGCACATAAAACTGTATTCGAGAGTTGTAAATAAATGATTCACTTGCTTCGCTAACTATTTCCTTCTGTTTTGGGGAGATTCTGCATCCTTTCATCTCGTCATAGCGCGACAAATGACAAATTTGTTTTCAGTGCTTAGCACCGTTGCAGAATGCCTCTGTTGTTGTTGTTTTCTACTTTGTTGAGTCTTGTTGCAGCCTGTCTTTGTTTTCTTTGTTTGTGTTGAGTCTTGTTGCAGCCTGTCTTTGTTTTCTTTGTGCTGAGTCATGCTGCAGCTTCTCTCTCCTGGATAGTTTGTTGTTTATTCATGCTGCAATGTGTATTTGTTGGTTTTGTTGTATTTGTGTTGATTCATTTTGCAATCTGCCAGCGTTGCTGTTTTGCAACTTATGTGGAAATGATGTTGGAGCTTGCTTCTTGAGGTCATCTTGAGATGATTTCGGGGCTTTTTAGTGTCCCCGCGGCCCGGTCCTCGACCAGGCCTCCACCCCCAGGAAGCAGCCCGTGACAGCTGACTAACACCCAGGTACCTATTTACTGCTAGGTAACAGGGGCATAGGGTGAAAGAAACTCTGCCCATTGTTTCTCGCCGGCGCCTGGGATCGAACCCAGGACGACAGGATCACAAGTCCAGCGTGCTGTCCGCTCGGCCGACCGGCTCCCTTGCTGCCATTGGCTCCTTGCATTGTGTAGCACAGCCAGCCTTAATTTTATTGAGCACCAAATTGCTTTATTATATGTAAAATCAAATGAGATATTGAACATAGTACAGAACTGTACATATTAAGCAGGATTGTGACATATAGAGGAGAAACCAGACCTTGTTTTCTAGCATGTAGATAACTGGCCTAACTTAGCCTAACCAAACTTAGGTACTCCCCTGCTTGATGGGGTTCTGGGAGTTCTTCTACTGCCCAAGCCCAGCCCGAGGCCAGGCTTGACTTGTGAGAGCTTGGTCCACCAGGCTGTTGCTTGGAGCGGCCCGCAGGCCAGGTTTGACTTGTGAAGCCCAATCTAACTAAATATTGCCTAAGTTTATCTTACACATTCGTCATCAGAAACAGCAAGAAACACTTTGTAAAATGCATGAACTCTTACAAGCTTTGAAACATTAAACATCAAATGCAAAATTGTAATTGTTGTACTTGCAGAGTAAACACAATATTGTGCTTCAAATATGTTCTGAGAACAGGTATAGAGTTGCATCTGCAGACTTGTATCACTGTTTTTCAATTTGTGTTGAAATATATTGCAACATACTCAATGTTTGACTCCCTTCATGTCTAAGTTTGTAGAGTTTTATTAATGATATATTAAGTTATAGTAAGCCAGCAGCCATCTTCTTATCTTGAGGTTATCTTGAGATGATTTCGGGGCTTTTTTTTAGTGTCCCCGCGGCCCGGTCCTTGACCAGGCCTCCACCCCCAGGAAGCAGCCCGTGACAGCTGACTAACACCCAGGTACCTATTTTACTGCTAGGTAACAGGGGCATAGGGTGAAAGAAACTCTGTCCATTGTTTCTCGCCGGCGCCTGGGATCGAACCCAGGACCACAGGATCACAAGTCCAGCGTGCTGTCCGCTCGGCCGACCGGCTCCCTATAGCTTATTATAACTCACAGAAATCATAATAACTTGATGAATCAATGAACAAAGCTCAGTCGATTAAGGCATTGTTTAAGGAAACAATGGGCAGAGTTTCTTTCACCCTATGCCCCTGTTACCTAGCAGTAAAATAGGTACCTGGGTGTTAGTCAGCTGTCACGGGCTGCTTCCTGGGGGTGGAGGCCTGGTCGAGGACCGGGCCGCGGGGACACTAAAAAAAAGCACCGAAATCATCTCAAGATAACCTCAAGATAGCGTCTGGGATCCTCTCGGACGTAGGTTCGAATCCTCGTCACGGCTCTTGTGGATTTGTCCATAGCTTATTATATATTATGCTAAATCCATTGAGCGTAAAGAGAATAGGGCAAAATGTGCCATTCACTTTACATTGAATGGTTCCATGGCTTGTATATGATTCTGATATTCCCATACACTTCCGTCTGAAAAAATATTGGACAATCTCTTTAGCACTGTGTTGCATTTTCATCCTTGGGTCTGGGCAATAAATAAACAACATCTCTCAGCTGGATATGCGGTTCAGTTTGGTTTCAATTTGAGGCAAAGTCATTGAATTCTCCAACACCCCTATACCCCCCCCCCCACTCCCCTTAAAATCCCCCCAAAACCCCCTTTCCCCCCCTCCTCCTTTATTTCCCCCCCTGACATGAAACTTTACAAATTATTGAAGTGTAATAAGCACAGTTTCTGCCCCCTAAAATAATTTAAAAATACTCGTGACTGGGTATACCTAATCTTTATTCTGCTCGGTAAATTTCACCGGCGTTTTCGCCTGAGGTTTACAAGCGAAGGTAAACTGTCAGAACTAACAATTTTGGTAGATAGGGGGTGTGTGTGTGGGGGGTTAACAGAGTCACATGGCCCAATGGTACACCACAGGTTCCACTAAGCTGTCTCGCATTTTAAGCTTTACCGTAGCCATCAATTTTAGGCCTGGGGGGCTGGTGGGAGATTGTAGGGCATTTTTGTCCCTTTCTTCTTCTTTCTCTTTTATTCAATATTTACCATCGTTTTCTGTAGCGAGGGAGGATAGTTGTTTTCCCTGTCGCTCTATGTAGACTCGAGGTCTTTAATAATACTTTTTTATGTAATATATATATCGCGAATAAGTTACAATGACGTGATCAATGTAGATAATTTTCATTGATATATTTCGCAAAAAAGTATTATTAGGAAGCAGTAAAACAATTGTATTGGGTCTCACTGAAATATATTTTTTTTGTATTAATACATTAGGTACATGTGCATTAGTGCAGCTGCCCTAGACTATATGAAGTGGAGTACAGTGTGTCAAAAAAGCTAACTAGGTGATGCTAAAAAATCTCCATCACACAGGATGGTTAGTCATACAGAGGCATGTGATAATATTGTCATTACGGTCGCTAAGAACTCTAGGGAAAACACACCAGTTATTTCACAGTTGACTGAAAATCGCCAAGGGGTTATTATATAATGTATAAAATGTTTAACTTAGGCCTACCTAAGCCTATTTTCAACTTTCCACTTGCATATTTAGGTGAGGCAATTCTCAATACTCTGTTCTTCAATTTCGGACAGACCTTCAGACCTTTTAAGTTGCAAAAATTGATATAATGTTGACCAGACCACACACTAGGAAGTGAAGGGACGACGACGTTTCGGTCCGTCCTGGACCATTCTCAAGTCGATTGTGATTTTCTCACATAATCGGCTTGTGAATGGTCCAGGACGGACCGAAACGTCGTCGTCCCTTCACTTTCCAGTGTGTGGTCTGGTCAACATATTCCAGCCCCGTTATTGTGACTCCTCGTCTGCATATTGATATAATATCACTAAAAGGCTGTGTTTAGCCTACCAGACATTCTAAATCTGTTAAACTTAATTATGCAAAGAGTTCGTAAATGTTCATTTTCTTCACATGTTTCATACAAGAAAATTCCGCTTTCAATATGCAAAATATCTTTACATCGTGAAATATTTAATGATACCAAATACCTATACATGAGAATAACTCTAATTCATTAAGCTATTCATGAAGGACACTGTATAAAGATTTACACAGATAAACTAAAGAATTTATTTTTTACAAAACAGTTGTAAAATACATACTCTCCTTTGATATTTATCTACTTTTCTGTCTACTTCAGGGGCTGTAGATGAGAACTAAGCCCATAGAGATATATAGAAGCGGTCAGTAGATTACATAAAGATCTAACATTCAGTTAAATGTCCTGTTTTTCCATCATTTTCAGAAATATGCAAATAAATGGCTCTTCTAAATCTGCGTCTGGTTTAATGCTTAGAACATACATGCTTTATGGAAATAGTAAGCCTGATGATCCATTTAAAAGCAGCTTCTTTGACAAGGCCGTGCGATATGTATTTTGGGTAATCTCTGCTGTAATAAACACCATAATGTTTAGTTTCAAAGGATGCGGTTGTGCCGTGTCTGCTTATCCTTGGTAGTCGTGGGGTAATTCATCTTAACGATTAAATAAATTTCATATTCCTAGTGTGGACACATGTATTAGTCTCTCTCTCTCTCTCTCTCTCTCTCTCTCTCTCTCTCTCTCTCTCTCTCTCTCTCTCTCTCTCTCTCTCTCTCTCTCTCTCTCTCTCTCTCTCTCTCTCTCTCTCTCCTCTCCAACCTCTCTGATTTTTTACTTATGCTGGGGTTCATTAATGTTCCTTGTGAAAATGCAAGCATGAGCTGTTATCCTATACCAGCTCATCTGTAGCCTGCCCCTGGAAACTCATTTGAGGTGGAGTATAGTGTGTGTGGATAGTGAGGAGTGTGGGGTATAGTGAGGAGTAACGGAGAATAGTGAGTTGTAGATTATAGTAAGTAGTGTGAATTATAGAGTATATATATAGTGAGGAATATGGATTATAAGGTCTGTATAGTGAGGAATATGACTTTCCGTGTGCATATAGTGAAAGGTGATGACATGATGAGACAAAAAATTATACTTAAGAATACATGAAAAAAGTGACATTGAATTATTACAATTAGAAATGTGGATAAATTATCTGAGTGAAGGTTTAGGAAGAGTACAGATTGAGTGAAGGTGTAGTGTATCTCCCCATGACTCACAATATCCCTAAATTGGGATATAGCATCCCTGAATTGGGATACAATATCCCTAAATTGGAATACAACATCCCTAAATTGGTATATGACATCCCTAGATTGGGATACAACATCCCTAAATCATACAACGTCCCTAAATTGGGATACAGCATCCCTAAATTGGGATACAATATCCCTAAATTTGGGATACAATATCCCTAAATTGGAATACAATATCCCTAAATTGTGATATTGTGAAAGCGATGGGGAGAAGTGTATCTGTTTTAAGAGTTCAAGGCGTTCTAATGTATAATAAATCGTTACTGATGCATAATATAGTGCAGTGTGATGTATAATAAAACGTTATTGATGTATAACAAAGCATTATTGATGTATAATGAAGCTTTACTGATGTAAAATATAATGCAGTTTGATGTATAATCTTGCACTGTATTATGGCATTATAATAGAGTTTTTTAATGTATAATAACGTTCAGTATGATGTATAAGGTGTATTCTAGTATATAGTAAGGCGTAGTGTTTAATAAGGCTTAGTATGATGTATAAAAAGGTGTATTATAGTGTATAATAAGATGTAGTTTGTTGTATAATAAAGTGTCTTTTGATGTATAATACAATGTAATCAGGTGTAGAATATGTTGCAGTATGATGTATAATGAAAAGTTGTCTGGTGTATACTGGTGTATACTAATAGGTTGTATAATGTATACTAAAACCCAAGTTGTTGGCGTTTTGTGGAGAAATAAATTATTCGTCAAATTAGTGAGAGTAATTAAGAGCAGTCTGATGCATCGTTAGGGTAAGGCAGGGTAGGCCTATCTAAGAATAGACCTACATCTATCCTATATCCTACATCTATCCTATATCCTACATCTATCCTATATCCTACATCTATCCTATATCCTACATCTATCCTATATCCTACATCTATCCTATATCCTACATCTATCCTATATCCTACATCTATCCTATATCCTACATCTATCCTATATCCTACATCTATCCTATATCCTACATCTATCCTAAATCCTACATCTATCCTATATCTATCCTCTATACAGTTCTTGAACTTATTATTTAGGATAAGTCATATTATAAAAATTTCTGGTTTAATTCTTAATTCAACACAAGCTTTATATATGGTTATCTTGAGATGATTTCGGGGCTTAGCGTCCCCGCGGCCCGGTCCTCGACCAGACCTCTTTTTGTTACACACCCCCAGGAAGCAGCCCATAGCAGCTGTCTAACTCCCAGGTACCTATTTACTGCTAGGTAAACAAGGGCATCAGGGTGAAAGAAACTCTGTTCATTTATTTCCGCCTCCTCCGGGGATCGAACTCGGAACCTTGAGGCACTCCACTTACAACATTTTCCCAGCCGAAAATGTTCTCAATGCTATGCTTTGTATGTATATGTTTTGATACATATTTTGTGTTTAAGCACAAGTATACATGTGTATGTATCCCCGTGCAAGAGGAGGGTGCCACTATACATGAACTTGTTTATGGAGTGTCCAAGTATTGTATACATATTTTTCGAGTAAGGGACGTGTGCGTGTATACATATTGTGAGAGCATCGCCTCATGTAAGGAAAGTGACTGTATACATATCGCAATGAATGAGGTATATGTGAGTATACATATCCTCGCGAAAGAGTATAATATGGGTATACTTTACTCATGAATGTGTATGTTAAGAGCACTTGTCTCCTATTTCCTCAATTACTCGCTTTTACTCATATGTTCCTCACTTTTCCTCATCTACCTTCCCTTCATCTGGTAATAAAACCACGGGATCACCATAGCCCGTGCTACTTGGGACATTTTGTTCCAAATCTTTAACAACAACATCAAAAGATTTTTTTTCCGAAAGAAAAAATCCATATTCGCCAGTCCAAATGAGGCATTTATTCATTATTTATTTAAGTCCATTTCTCTGTTTCTTGGGAACAAGAACTCGACTTCAAGCCCTCCCCATTGGCCTTATCTTACGGTCTTTGATCTTATCTTACGGCTTTTGGCCTTATCTTGCGGCCCTTGGCCTTATCTTACGGCCCTTTGCCTTATCTTACGGCCCTTGGCCTTATCTTACGGCCCTTTGCCTTATCTTACGGCCCTTGGCCTTATCTTACGGCCCTTGGCTTTATCTTACAGCCCTTGGCCTTATCTTACGGCCTTTGGCCTTATCTTACGGCCCTTTGCCTTATCTTACGGCCTTTGACCTTATCTTACGGCCCTTGGCCTTATCTTACGGCCTTTGACCTTATCTTACGGCCCTTGGCCTTATCTTACGGCCCTTAGCATCACCTCATACGCCCCCTACCTTCACATTTACAAATTAAAACCCTAAAACAAACGACTTTGGGTTAAAATACCACATCCAGGCCCCTTCGAATCCCCTCCAATGACGAGGTTCTTTAATCTACCAATGGAGGCCGAGCGACTTCTTTGATTGGTCGGTTGTTTTCAAATTAACTTGAGTGCTGTTTTCAGAATTCGGACGAGGTCTGGTGAGGCTTCGAACCAGCTCCACGAAAACACCGACTCCCGTGGGAAATCAAGAGTATATTTGTCTCTCCTACGGCAGCTAAGTGAAGCGCCTCCGGCTTGCTCAATAGTGGAGTCGGAACGCCTACACTGAAAAAATATTAGCGTCGCTGTATGTATTATAGGAACGTTACCGAGAACGGCGCCGTTCTTGAGGGGTTCACTTCGCTGATGGGAACGTCTGAACGGGGGATATCTTCGTTGGAGCCCCTGGAATTATTAGCTATGGAAGGGCGTGGGTTGGGTAATATATATCTTGAATTCTCTACACCACATGTGTGGGGGTGTGGAGAATGTACATACACATGTACTCATCCATTGTGCGGTCTTACTCATCCATACCACTCTATCCTGACTCATCCACATCATATCACAGCCTGAATCATCCCGTACACTGAAGTTAGTCATCATTCCCTACCACACAATGACTCATCTGATTCTTCACTAGTTACCCCATCATATTATTCACTAGTAACCCATCATATTCTTCACTAGTAACCCATCATATTATTCACTAGTACCCCATCATATTCTTCACTAGTACCCCATCATATTCTTCACTAGTACCCCATCATATTATTCACTAGTAACCCATCATATTATTCACTAGTTACCCATCATATTATTCACTAGTTACCCATCATATTATTCACTAGTTACCCATCATATTATTCACTAGTAACCCATCATATTATTCACTAGTACCCCATCATATTATTCACTAGTACCCCATCATATTATTCACTAGTTACCCATTATATTATTCACTAGTAACCCATCATATTATTCACTAGTTACCCATCATATTATTCACTAGTTACCCATCATATTATTCACTAGTTACCCATCATATTATTCACTAGTTACCCATCATATTATTCACTAGTTACCCATCATATTCTTCACTAGTAACCCATCATATTATTCACTAGTTACCCATCATATTATTCACTAGTTACCCATCATATTATTCACTAGTTACCCATCATATTATTCACTAGTTACCCATCATATTCTTCACTAGTTACCCATCATATTATTCACTAGTTACCCATCATATTATTCACTAGTTACCCATCATATTATTCACTAGTTACCCATCATATTATTCACTAGTTACCCATCATATTATTCACTAGTTACCCATCATATTATTCACTAGTTACCCATCATATTATTCACTAGTTACCCATCATATTATTCACTAGTTACCCATCATATTCTTTATTACTCCATTACCTTCACTAACAAACACATTCAGTTATCCATAAATAAAATTTTATTTCACTTTTCTTAAACTCAATCGTATTTTATTTTCTTTATTTCCCCTTTCTGCTGCCTCTCAGGATTAATTATCCTGCTCATTTCTGAGGATTAATCCTCATGCCCATTTCTAAGGATTAATTCTCATGCCCATTTCTAAGGATTAATTCTCATGTCCATTTCTAAGGATTAATCCTCATGCCCATTTCTAAGGATTAATCCTCATGCCCATTTCTAAGGATTAATTCTCATGTCCATTTCTAAGGATTAATTCTCATGTCCATTTCTAAGGATTAATTCTCATGCCCATTTCTAAGGATTAATCCTCATGCCCATTTCTAAGGATTAATCCTCATGCCCATTTCTAAGGATTAATTCTCATGTCCATTTCTAAGGATTAATTATCCTGTCCACATCTCAAGATTAATTATTCTGCCTATTTGTTCTGCTGTAAGCAGAATATATTAACTTTATTCTCAATGTTTCCCCAGTACTATTGTTCCCCCAGTACTATTGTTCCACCAGTACTATTGTTCCACCAGTACTATTGTTCCCCAGTACTATTGTTCCCCAGTACTATTGTTCCCCCAGTACTATTGTTCCCCAGTACTATTGTTCCTAGTACTATTGTTCCCCAGTACTATTGTTCCGCCAGTACTATTGTTCCCCAGTACTATTGTTCCCCAGTACTATTGTTCCCCAGTACTATTGTTCCCCAGTACTATTGTTCCCCAGTACTATTGTTCCCCAGTACTATTGTTCCACCAGTACTATTGTTCCCCAGTACTATTGTTCCCCAGTACTATTGTTCCCCAGTACTATTGTTCCCCAGTACTATTGTTCCAGTACTAGTACTATTGTTCCCCAGTACTATTGTTCCCCAGTACTATTGTTCCCCAGTACTATTGTTCCCCAGTACTATTGTTCCACCAGTACTATTGTTCCCCAGTACTATTGTTCCCCAGTACTATTGTTCCCCAGTACCCACCAGTACTATTGTTCCCCAGTACTATTGTTCCCCAGTACTATTGTTCCCCAGTACTATTGTTCCCCAGTACTATTGTTCCCGAGTACTATTGTTCCCCAGTACTATTGTTCCACCAGTACTATTGTTCCCCAGTCTATTGTTCCACCAGTACTATTGTTCCCCAGTACTATTGTTCCCCAGTACTATTGTTCCCCAGTACTATTGTTCCCCAGTACTATTGTTCCCCAGTACTATTGTTCTCCCAGTACTATTGTTCCCCAGTACTATTGTTCTCCCAGTACTATTGTTCCCCAGTACTATTGTTCCCCCAGTACTATTGTTCCACCAGTACTATTGTTCCCCAGTACTATTGTTCCCCAGTACTATTGTTCCCCAGTACTATTGTTCCCCAGTACTATTGTTCCCCAGTACTATTGTTCCCCAGTACTATTGTTCCCCAGTACTATTGTTCCACCAGTACTATTGTTCCCCAGTACTATTGTTCCCCCAGTACTATTGTTCCCCAGTACTATTGTTCCCCAGTACTATTGTTCCACCAGTACTATTGTTCCCCAGTACTATTGTTCCCCAGTACTATTGTTCCCCAGTACTATTGTTCTCCCAGTCCCCCAGTACTATTGTTCCCCCAGTACTATTGTTCCCCCAGTACTATTGTTCCCCAGTACTATTGTTCCCCCAGTACTATTGTTCCCCAGTACTATTGTTCCCCAGTACTATTGTTCCCCAGTATTGTTCCACCAGTACTATTGTTCCCCAGTACTATTGTTCCCCAGTAGTACTATTGTTCCCCAGTACTATTGTTCCCCAGTACTATTGTTCCCCAGTACTATTTGTTCCCCAGTACTATTGTTCCCCAGTACTATTGTTCCCCCAGTACTATTGTTCCCCAGTACTATTGTTCCCCAGTACTATTGTTCCCCAGTACTATTGTTCCCCAGTACTATTGTTCCCCCAGTACTATTGTTCCACCAGTACTATTGTTCCCCAGTACTATTGTTCCCCCAGTACTATTGTTCCACCAGTACTATTGTTCCCCAGTACTATTGTTCCCCAGTACTATTGTTCCCCCAGTACTATTGTTCCCCCAGTACTATTGTTCCCCAGTACTATTGTTCCCCCAGTACTATTGTTCCCCAGTACTATTGTTCCCCAGTACTATTGTTCCACCAGTACTATTGTTCCCCAGTACTATTGTTCCACCAGTACTATTGTTCCCCAGTACTATTGTTCCCCCAGTACTATTGTTCCACCAGTACTATTGTTCCCCAGTACTATTGTTCCACCAGTACTATTGTTCCACCAGTACTATTGTTCCACCAGTACTATTGTTCCACAATATCTCCATCACCTGAAGGTCCATTACCATTATAAAAAAAATTTAAGCAAACAATTTATGTAAAAACTAAATTATAATTGAATGTAAAAATGTTTCTGTTCATTTGTAGAACAACTACAAGAGTTCTTGGCGCTCTAGATCTCAGTTTCTGTCTCTGTCTGTATTTCTGTCTATCTGTCTGTCTGTCTGTCTGTCTGTCTGTCTGTCTGTCTGTCTGTCTGTTTATCTGTCTGTCTGTCTCTTTGTCATAACATCACCTAAGGATTACTACCTCTACCTTCTCTCCCCCTGAGAGATTCTCTCACAGTGAGGGGAAACCGGTTGTGGCCCCCTTCCCTTTCCCCTTTTCTGCGTGTTTGTACACAGCCCCCTCCCCCCCCCCAGACGCCCCCCCCCCAGCCTGGCTTCTATCCCCCCTATCCCACCTCTTCCTCCCTAGCCACACCCCTCTA